GATGTCATGGTTCAGGGTTCCGTCTCTGGCTCAGCAAGTAGGTAGGCTCGCTCAGAACGCCATGGCTGTGCAGGATTCAAAGTCCAAGATAGCGGCCTCAATAGTTAGATTAGGGTTTTGGGTATATTATACCATATTTATCATAAGGAACCCCCGAAAGAGTCTAGGTCATGGGTTAGGCCACTGCATTAGGGCTTAGAAGCTCGAGGGTCAGGCATGGAAGAGTGCCGAGCAGTCGCACCTCTCTCGGCAGATCCAGACCGCAGTAACCAGGTTCATGGTATACCTGTCGGGAAGTGTGGAGTGTGTGAACTTAAACCCTTCAGGGTTGTAGGGTTTCGGGTATGTGAACCGTAAACCTCTATCCCAAAACCTGAACTTCGAGCCGAGGGCTCTTGGGCTGATCCTGTGGTCATCTAGTTGCACAACCGATGACCCACCAGGTAGACCTGAAAAGGTTTCAACACACGGAATGTCGGGCCTTCTGCTGGACTGCTGTACTCTTTTCGTATATGTATAAGGGTAAGCAGCTGCATCCGTTGCTGTGAAATTGCAAAACTTGGGATTTAGGGTTCAGTGATCGCGGTGACCAACGGCACTTCTGTGCAGGAGCAAGATTTTGCGTTAGTGAAAGTTTAACAATTATCCTCAAAGCAGTCGCCATCGCCGTGATATTCACCATCATCTTCAACATGATCATCATCATCATCATCATCATCATCGCCATCAACAGCATCAGTTTCATCATCCTCATCCTCCTCATCATCAACAACAGCATCACCGTCAGAGCATCATCGCAACAGCATTGTGTGCCACTTGTCAGGAGCTGTTGTTCTAGCCCTACAAGTAGTAATGGTGGCAATGGTGAAGAAAAGTTCTTCTGTCACGAGTGCGAGAGGTGTCTAAAGGTTACCCTTGGAGTGAACTCCTTTCTCTTATAACCTTACAAAGTTGATACGGGAAGTAGATTTCTACTCTTGGAGACGCCTAGAACGGGTAATGCCTAACGCACGAAAATTCTGTCAGCACTTGCAAGTATTTTATATTTGTACTCTCGGCAGCTCCGCTCAGAACACCCCAGCTGCGCAGTATCCGGTGTTGGAGTCTCGGGCTTGCTTTCAGCAGATCCAGACCGTGGTAACCAGGCTGATTTTAGGCTGGAGGCTGGGAACTGAAGGGCTCATGTGGGGACCTTATAATTAGAGTAGGGTCTTGGGGCCCATTATACCATAATCATAATAAGGAGCCCCCCAAAATTTTATAGGTAATTATTTAGGCCTCTATTCTATGGTAGGGGTGCAGTACAGCATACAGGGTTTCGGCTTCAGGCTTTGGCGTGTCGGCTTCAGGATATGGGAGTTTCCGAAAATAGTACCTTAAATAGTAGGATCCTTATTATAGGAGTTTCCGAAATTCGGGGTACCTTATTTTGGGACCCTTATAATAAGGATCCTACTATTTAAGGTACTATCTTAGGGTCCCCCATTTTCCCTAATGTAGTACCCTAAATAATAGGATCCTTATTATAAGAACCCCAAAATAAGGTACCCCCAATTTTCGGAAACTCCCATATAGTCCGGCCTCTTGGTTCTGCCTGGACGGAACATCACTGGTTGCACCTGGCAGGCGATCTGACTCAAGGCGGCAGATGAAGGTTGAGGGTTCAGGGTTTACTTAGTTGATGAGTTCATGCGCGCCCAAAAGTGTACACTTTCAGCCTTATAGTGGGTAATATTCTCCGTGTACAGTGTATCCACTCAGCTACCACGTTTAGGTTGTTCGCTTTCGCAACCTTCGACACATAGGCTGCAAACACCATTGTGCGGAATACAGCGACAACACCCCGGCTCAAGTTCTTGCATGAATCATGCATCGTGAGACTAAACCAACACGTGAATCTGTATAAATCTGGAACATGACATCCAATCTCCATCCCGAAATAAGGCTCACGATGACAGTCACTGCAACACATCACATCACAGTCGCAGATATTGGATAGAAGTAGCAGTAGCAGAAGTAGTAGCAGCAGCAGTAGGAGGAAGAGCAGTAGCAGTAGCAGCAGCATACGCAGCTGTAGTTGTAGTTGTAGCTGTAGTAACCAGCTAGTTACGCCGTGGTGGTGGCAGCAGTGACGGTGTCCATGTTAGCATCCTGATCGAAAAGCCCGTCAGTGCGCCGTGCCTTCACCACTAGAGGAGTGCCCAGAGACGCTGCGCGAGTCTGTGAGATCTGACTGAGTCACCTGACCATGCCAAGAAAGCTCTTTCAGATGTGGAAATGTTGATCCTGTGAGCATGCCTGAAACCCAGACCATGCAGGCCCGGAAATTCATAACTTAATAACAAAAACGCCTATTGGTCCCCGTCCCCGTCCTAATTGCTGCTAGACATTCCGAACACGTTTCTGTAATTTCTACTGCTACTGCTGCGGCTGCTGCTACTGGTGCAGCTGCTGCTGCTTCTACTTCGAAGCTGCTGTCGCTGCGCCCACTCTGCTGTCACTCCTACTGTGTACAAGACTCGAGGTATCATTGTACTGGGACTAGCATTAGCCTCAGTACTAGTACTGGTACTAGCAGTGGTACTAGTAGCAGTAGTAGTAGTCGTAGTAGTAGTAGTAGTAGTAGTAGTAGTAGTAGTAGTAGTAGTAGTAGTAGTAGTAGCAGTAGCAGTAGCAGTAGCAGTAGCAGTAGCAGTAGCAGTAGTAGTAGTACTACTACTGCAGCTACTGCTACTACAGTTACTACAGCTTTTACGACTACTACGGCTACCACCACTACGACAATAGGACTACCACGACGACTACTACTACTGCTGCGACGAACGTTTCCTGTACTCTGACAGTAGCAGTTTCGGGTTCAGGGCTTCTTCTACCCTACACTCCAAATTCTCTTCTGCAGTCGCTGCCTGATTGGAGATGCTGGATCCATAGCTTCCGGCAAGCCTTCCAGAAGCGGTGGAGGCTGTAACGGCGGGGTCTTCGTGCCTTAGTATCTTTATGAAAATATGATTACAAAGGGATATGACTACTGCGTATTCTTTAATGAAGCTATAACGGGAAATTATTGCTATTTGTTGAGAGGCCTAAAGTTCCCTAAGTCTGAAACTCAACCAGAGATTTGCTTCCGCCCCGCCCCTCAGCATCTTTGGCTTGCCCATGTACATCTGCCAAAGCATCTGCAATCCCAGGATTTGGGGGAGCCACTTTGCAGGAGCTTGGTTTAGGGTCGAGTGTTTAGGGTATCGTGACATGCGAGACCACTCACGCCAACCCTAAGTACCTTAAACCCAAAACTACAAGTGTACCATAGTCAACACTGTTCCCGAGACCTGTGACTTAAATGAAGCAAAGGCCTTTAAACCTGAGCCGCGGTTCTGAATAGTTTGGTCAGGGTTTTGGGCACAGAGTGCCCAGCACCACCAAGGCAGGCATCAAGGTCTCATCTCCAATACTCCTCCCAACTCTACACTCCCAATGCCAAGCTCAAAGTTCAAACTTCAAGCTTGAATTAACGACGAAGCTTTCAATCCTCACATCTACTTTGACTGGACCGAACTCGTAGACCCTGTGGTCACACTCAAGTTCCAAGGTTGGAAGTATGGGCCCCTAATATGGACCCTTAGGCCTTATTCAGGGGGTTCCAGGGACCCTTAAGAGTCTATACAGGGCATATAGTAGGTATATAAGGATCCAAGGTTAAGGGCCCATATTAGGGGGCCCATGATTTCAGCCATTGGCAAGTCAACCCAAAAACCGCTTATCCAGACCCGCATCCGCGAGCTTTGGGCTCCAGAAACCAGAATCCGGGGAATCCCAAAACTCAATGTAGGGGCCGTAACAATCGGAACAGCGCCCCTTTAAAGGATTCCTTTAAAAGGGTCCTAAACGGGGTACTATAAGGGCTACTGCTACAAGTCTACTATGATATAGGGGCCTTCATAATTAGAATACGGTTTGGGGGCCCACTGTACTATAATTGTACTAAGGAACCCCCCAAATAGTATAGGTAATTAATAAGGCCCCTATATTACATCCCGCACCGCAAACCCCACACAGCCCAACACGAAACAACACAACAACACCAAAAACCCCAAACACCTTCAAACTCTAAAACCTAGAACCTAAAGGGCCCGGCCTCATCTTGATCAGTCCGTGACTCATTGGGTCAAGTGCGGTTGGGGCAGTCTCAGCCAAAACGGGCTAAGGGCGGCATCTGCATGACTTCGGCTTTTCGAGGCCCATATGGGTGGTTGTCAAAATTAGAGTTACTTTCCTTTTTGGGTACCCTAAATAATAGGTGTCGTACTATATTAGAGACCCCAAAACGGACCCTAATATTGACAACCACCCATATAGCCCCAGGTAAGTCTACTACAACATACCCGGAAATCGCTCTCTTTCCAACTGCTAAGGTTCAAGGTGCAGTTACACCAACCCTAAACCTAAACCCTCGCCCGTAAACCCTAGATCCCTAAACCCCTAACCCCTTTATAGTTCCCTTTAAAGGAACCCCTAAAGGAACCGTTGAAGGAACCCTAAACCCTTAATCCACTATTCAAAGGCTGCCCACTCATCTACTGAGTTCGGGGTTTAGGGTGTCGGGCTTTTTGTGTTTGGGGGTTTGGGGCTGTGGGCCTGTGGCCGGAAAGGATCCCTCAGACGAACTGCCCAAGCAAGACAGGTTTACTTTAGGCTTTGGGCTTCGGCTTAGGATTTGCGGAACCGGGAACCCCTTCAAGTCCTGTTGCGACAAAAGACCCTAGACTCCAAACCTCGCCATAAAGCTCCAAAAACCTCGAATTGCCACACCCTACCCTAAACCCTAAACACTACCCCCCCCCAAGAACCCGTCAATATTTAACCCAACGCCCCAACTGGCAAACCGCGAGCTCGTGTTGAAACACCCCTAAACCCAGAACTCCGAACCCTTCAACTAATCCCAGACACCAACCGCAAACCCCTATCAACCGACAAACAAAGACCCCATGCTGAAGCAGGTCCTGGAATCTCCTTGACGGTTTCGATCGGGATCTGGACAGTTCTTGGCTCTTGTTGAAGGCACCAACAGCAACGAGAATATCTTCTTAATCACCATCATCCCCTTGCTCATCATCAAAGCGTCCTCATAATCATCGTCATCATCACCATCATCATCATCGTCGTCATCCTTATCCTCATCTTCATCCTCCTCTTCCTTCTCCGCTTCATCCTCATATCAACATTATCGTCATAACAATCATCACCAGCACCAGCACCAGCACCAGCACCACCATCACCATCACCATCACCATCACCATCACCATCATCATCATCATCATCATCATCATCATCATCATCGTAGTCACTACCCTCGCTACCATGTTCACCATCACCACGGTACGCATCAGCTTTGTCATCATCGTCATCATCATCATCATCACCATCATCATCATCGTCATCATCATCAACGTCAACATCATAAGCAACATCCTAAGCACCATCATCAGCACCAGCAGCAACGGCAACATCTTCGTAGTCATGACGACTACCGACATCATCAACAGGTCTAAGCATCATCATCACTATCATCATCACCACGATTTTCGTCTGCGCAACCTTTACCAACATCATCGCCGCCACAATCACCATCATCATCAAGAGCATCAACACCGAATCATCACCAAAGACAACAGCATCATCGTGGTGGTATGCGGCATCATCACCACGATCAGGTCACGCTGTTCCAAGATGGACAACATGAGGGCCACGAGCAGTCTCCTCAGTGCCTCTTCGTCGTCTACAAAGCAGCACCAGCGGCATCACCAACAACGATGCCTAGCGCATCACCAACAACAAGATCGTCGCGATTAACATCCCACCACCCAGCACCATGATGGTCTGCCACATCATGATCATGTTCACCATCGCCACACGACCATCGCCTCCATTATTCTCACCTTCACCGGCACCGTTCCTCCTCCTCCGTCTCTTTGCCCGCTTCATAAGCTACTGCTTTTGTCGATGTCAGCAAGTGACCCTGAAATGCTACGCTGACATGTATTTGCAGGTGTGCCTTCCTGGTGGTGGTCTGTGCTGCAGCAGTGTGCCTGAGAGCACGCGTTGGATGAGCGGCTTAATCTTAGGGTTTCGGGGGTTCGATCGGCCTACCCCAAATGCTCCTGTGTACACCTCGGTCAGCGATGGGTTGAACCTTTTCATGGTCGTTATGTAGTTGCCTTCTCGTACACAAGTGACATGCGCCAAGTTGTTGTTCTAGGCAATGTGCTTAGGCAAGTTGACATTGCATGCAGTTCTGGCTGTCCGGCTCTCCAAACAGCGGCTGCAACACTCCGAGGGATGAACAGGTGCAAAATAGGATTAATTAGGCAGGCTGCGAGTGGACAATATTAGGGTCCCTTTTTGGGTCCTCATTATAATACGGCACCGAATATTTAGGGTACCCAAAAAGGGACCATAATTTTGACAACCACCCACATACTGAGGAGTCTTCTTTGGGACAGTCTCCAAAACGACGTCCGGATGAGTTTCGTGAGGCGGCGGCATTCGAAGAGGGCTAAGGACCTGGGGTTTTAATACACGGTTTAGGGTTTAGGGTATCGGGTTTAGGGGTTTAGCGTTAGGGGTTTAGGGGTTAGGGTTTTAACGCAAACTTTGCGCAAAGCTTCAAGTCTGGGAGCGGAGTCGTGCAGGGTTTGGCATTCGCAACCACCCGTGTGAACCTTGGGCGTAGATAACTACGAGAGTGTTCCCAGGATTGTATTCCAAGGCCGGAAGAATTTTCAACACAGCTTCAGAATAGCAAAACAGAGCAGTTGGTACTCTTCAAGGCTTGCCAGAAAGGACTTTAAAGGTACATGGGGGCCGTAAGAAGTACTAATTAGAACAAGGTTTAGGTGTAGGTCGTACTACAGAAACAGTCGGCACCCCCAACAACTCGTATTATCGTTAGTTGGAGTTATTTGGGCTTCTATCTTCTATCGTGTACTATGCGACCAAGGAATGAGAACTCAGATTCTGTAGGCTACTATCTGGAAAGTCCGTTTTGGGTTTAGGGTCTAGGGATGTTAGGCGAAGTCTTAAGTTTTACGGTTTAGGGTTTAGGGGGGCGACGCAGACTCGAAATGTTACGATGCCATACCCAGAGACTCCAATATCGCTTAATTAAGGAATATACCTTAAATTCGAGTAGGATCCCAACCCTAAACCCTAAACCCTAAACCCTAAACCCTAAATGATTTAAGGAGTATTCCATAATTAAGGGATATTGGAGTCCTTGGGCTCTAGCAAAAGCGACCGGAACCCCTCAAGCTGAAAGCCCAAATTGCGCGGAACACGAAAGCCCCGGTGCTCCAGGTTTGGGTTCAGGGTTTAGGATGAGAAGCTCGTTTTCGAATTTTGGGGGTTTGGGAGGTTATGCTTAGTGCTTAGATTAGGGTTTAGGCTTTGTTTTTTGGGTGTTGGTGGCGGGGTTTCGGCGCTGAACCAGAAAGTCTCAACTACGGAATTCAGCGAAGAATCAAAAAGATTTTCTTAATCCTAAACCCTACCTTCACCCTGAAGAACCTACCTGTTTGAAGACTTATATAACGAAATCATAAGAGGGAACCCTAAAAGGTAGGTTGTTCAGGGTTAAGGTAAACCCTAAACACCCTAAACCCTAAACCCTAAATCCCTAAACCCTAAACCCTAAAACCCTAAACCCCCTAAACACCCGAAACCCTAAGCCGTGAATTTCAGGGCCGGGCTCAGATTTTGATGGGCTTATCCCCGCTTGGAAATCTGGCTTCGGAGACCTTGGAGGCCGTCCTGCGGAATTCAATTTCAATGTCGGGGGTTTTTAGAGTTTAGGGTTTAGGGGTTTAGGGTATCGGGTTTAGGGGTTTAGGGTATCGGGTTTAGGGGTGTACGGGTTTAGGGGTTTAGGGTTTCGGGTTAGGTATAGGGTATAAGGTAAGGTTTGGCTATTGCACGGCTGCGCGAAGCCCAAAACTTGCAGCTTCAGGGGACTGGGTGCGTAGGTTGCCGCTGGCGTTCCAACTATCTTGGCTCGGGTTATACTCAACCTGCCTGAAAGCACATTTAGCAAATAAGCATTACCACAGATAGTATCAACAATCAGCGCAGCAACGATACTGCAAGCAATGGTAAAAAAAAACAAGAACGACATAACCATAACTAACAGGATCCTACTAGCAATAACCTGTAACATAGGAGTCGTAAAAGCGGCAGCAGATCTATTGTTGAGAATGATAACAGCAAGGTTCTATCAGCAATGATAATGCAGCAGACAGCAGTGACACGAATAGTCATCATTGCAATCAAAATAATACGAATACTACTAGCAATGGATAGCCAAATAACAATAGTGCGACTTCGACGAACAACAATAACAACAGTGGTCACATTAGCAACAGTCATACTGCGAACAAGGATAACACTATAAGTCACAATAACGACAACCATGCTACAACTAATAACAACATTACTCTACACAGCAACGTTATTGCTACCACAACTAATACTGCAGCTCGTACGACTAATAACTGTATTCCTAACAGTAACCGTTTGAATGGCAATACTACGAGGAGACATGATACCAATAATGGCAGGTATCATCACAATCTACTACACGTGGTAAGAAACCGCTGACGCCGTTAACATCGTCACGCGCTGCGACCCAAAAATTACGGGCAGCTACGGCCATCAATGAGATAAGTACTAATAAAAATGATAACCACAAAAGGAGGCAATGAGTGTATTCTTTGAAAAGTAATCGCAATAGCAGCAATACGGCGATCACGCGGACCACACATATCGAAAACAACAAACATAACAGCAATGATAACCACAATAACGAAAGATGAAACAAAAATATCGTTACATACTTGTCAAACTCTTTGAATACCTAAATGCTGTCAACCTTCGATCCTGAAGTCCCAGAGCGAAATTCTAAACCCTAAGCCCTAATTTCTAAATCTTCAGCCATACGCTGAGCACGAAGCAACTTCCTCACCACCCACACCCCAAGCTGTGAACTGCAAGTACATTCGTCTGCACTTGTGTGCAAAGCCTAAAACCGAAGCTACTGCAAAGCAGTCCGGGGCCATCTCGCTCTTTGGCTGCAGATGGCTGTGCGCACTCCTTGAGGGTCAGTCAGTGCTGGGGGTTGGAGATTGTTAGTCGTGTTTACGAGCTCTTTCCGTCATCACCTGAAGTTTCGAGTTTTGGGGTTGTGGCTTTGGTGGGCTCTCGGGTTTCGCGTGGTTTGACTTCAGAACCTGCACTGCGCGCTGAACCAACCCATGACCCTGCACGCTAGGCTAAAGACAAACTTTGGAACCTCAATCCTTGACGGTGTGACTTTCAGCCAGAACTTGAACCTTAAGCCCAAAACTCAATCATGTGCTTTCTTTTGCGCCATATCTGTCGCCATCACCACAATCCCAGTGCTGCAAGTATCATGACGAAGAACATGAGCGGTTATCAAAACCTCTTTTCAAATCGTTGACGCTAACAAACCCTTCCACGTTTAGGGTGCGCGCAGCTTCCGCGGAGCCAACTGTCCCTTACGCGCGGGCCCTTGAGTCAGCTCTTAAGCTTTAAGCCTTCCGCGCGCCCTTCCGCATTCCAGGTCTTTGAGCAGGAAAGACCTCAAGATACCCTTCCGCGCACCCCTTCCGCACATCCGTTTTTAAAGCAACCGGTGCGCAAGCCTTCCGCGAATGCGACTGTTGCTTACGCGCGCTTGCGCGCCCATTCGTTAATGCCGGCCCTAGTCTGGCTAGCTCTTCGATGGTTTAGCTCTCCGCTCACATGCCCATCACCATCAAGATCCCACAATCCTCATCTTTGTCCGCGTCCGCTTTAGCTGCTCATGTTCGTCACGATCAGCAGCAGCAAGAAGATCAGTACTCTCACCACCACACCACCACACCACCAACACCACCACAACCACCACCGCCGCCACCCCGGCCACACAGCTACCCCTCCTCATCATCATCCTCATCGTCATCCGCAGCCTCATCCCCATCATCCTCGTCATCATCATGCTCATCCTCATCCTTATCAACATCATCGGAATCGTCCTCATCAACAACAGCCACAACAATTTCATGGTTATCATCACCATCAACAAAAGCAGCAGCATCAACAACACTGTTATCATCATCACCATCATGCATCATCTTCTTCATCACGCCCAGTAACATGAACACCATCATCCTCATCGTCGTCATCACCCGTTTATCCCCACCATCATCATCATCATCACCATCATCATCACATTCACCGTCATCCTCATCGCATCATCGCCATCATCATCACCACCGGCACATGCAGTTAAACGATTGACGAACAGTACTACGCACACCACAAAGAACCAAACATGGAGCAGCAGCAACAGAAGCATCAGCAGCAGAGTAGAAGAACAAACAGGCACCATGACCACGACTACCACCACTGCCGCCGCCGTCGTGTGATCGATATTGTTGCTGTTGTGGTTTGCTGTTGTCGACGGTGTTGCTATTGTTAGTGCTGTTGCTGTTATTGTTGTTGTTGGCGGTAGTGGTGGCTGAAGGTGCTGCTGGTAACAACTGCTAGCAGAGCAAATTGAAGACACAAGTTCCGCTTGGCATGGATGAGGATGATTGTGGTGATGGCAATTCAGATGCACCTAGCCATTCTACATAAATCTTTATACGATGGATCTCGTCATGGCAATGAGCGGTTCTTGCAGATAGGCTACGGCCACGAGGACCTCTTTGGTGCGCAGTTTCTTCTCGGCTGCCTCGCATTCTTCAGTGGCTCTGCAGAAGAGGTGTTGGGCTGTGGGAGGGCCGTGGGTGGTTGGCATTTCAGGGTGTTGGGGCTTTGTGAGTTGTGTTGCTCAAGCTCAACTCTTTCGAATTCAAGCTGTGGTCTTGATAGGGTTTAGGGTTTAGGGGTTTAGGGTTGAGCCTTCTATCTTGACTTTTTGAAGGCTTCGGGAAGGCTTGGCGGTGTTCGGGGGCTTTGTGTTTTGAGAGCGCCTTAGACTTCGGAATTTGGGCCCTGTTTTCCGCATAGCTTCAACCAACCGGCACTTGCGATAAACCGAGTCTTCAAGTTATTGTCGTGGTAGTGGTGCTGGTGGTGGCCCTAAACCCTAAACCCTATGCAGCCTCCAGGCTTTGTTGCAGTATCTGCTCCTGCTTAAAGTTCCCCTAACATAACCACTGAACGCAACACCCCAAACCGGAAACCCCTAGTCCCCACATCGAAAAGTGACCCAAAATCGTAAACCCTAAACTCCTAAATGCCCTAAACCCTAAACCCTAACCTCTAAAGCCTAAACCCTAAAAGCCCTAAACCCCTAAACCCTAAAACCCTGCAGGGCATCTGCCGGAGGCTTCGGTGTTCAGGGTTTTGCTTAAGCCTCCCTGATCTGATGCCTTCGAATACTTGGAGGATCATGGGACGTAGTAACTTAACATGACTTCCTTTAACAAGAACATTGTAGAACCCTTAAAGCCTTAAAAGAACTCTAGATTATGGTAACTTAAATTATAAATCCTTTAGCAAGAACCCTTATAGAACCCTTAAAGGAACCCCAAACTATGGTAACTTCAAATCTAAATCCTTCTAACAAGAGCCCAGCAACCTTCAGGCAGCCGGGAGGATCATGGGACTTCGTAAGTAAGGTCAGAAGTACCCTAAACCCTAAACCCTAGCTACTAAGGGTTCCTTCAAGGGCTCTGTAAAGGGATCTATAGGCTTTAGGGTTTAGGGTCTACTTGGAGGATCATGGGACTTAGTAAGTAAGGCTATAAGTACCTTAATAAGGGTTATAGGAAGTTATAAGTAGTGTTACCGTAAGTAACACCCTGGTTACTAAGTCCTTGGAGCAGGGTTTTGGGGCGGGGCATTAGTACACAACAGTATGGGAACTAGAAGGAAACACTTAAATATGTTCATTCATCCGACCGCGGTATTAACCCCTGAACCCTAAACCCCCCACATCCCGGGCCTTGGGTGTCCAGAGTCCTATGTATTGCCAGCTATACTTAGAAGCCTGAACAACTAGACTACAACTGTTGATGATAGAAATCCTGCATTACCTTAAGGACCCTAAACTATGGGAATTATGGTATATTCCTTATTATGGGTAATGCAGGATTTATATCATCAACCGAAGTAGGGTATGGGGTTACTTGATGTTGAAACTCCACGAGAGAAACCTAGTCAACAGTTATCTGGTCCCAAGCCCATCAGTCCCTTATGGAGACACTGTCGAGGAACCCGGTTCTAATTACCAAGGCCCCTAAACCCTCAAACAGCTGAAACTGAACTTCGAAAACATGCCGGAAAGTAAGCGGAAAGCTGTTTTAGATTCTCCGCATGGGAGCTGTTAAGGGGCTCTCGGTTTAGCCGCATAAGGAGCTACCCCTAAACCCTAAACCCCTAAACTGAAGCAGGGCCTCGTAGTACCGCAACACCTGGCCGCCAATTCGTGTCTCCACAGTTAGCAGGCAAAAGGATAGGGTTTAGGGTTTAGGGTTTAGGGTTTAGGGTTTAGGGAAGGATTTCTTCGGATGCGTTTAGCTAGGATGCCCAGTGACCTGGAAATAAAAAGGGCCCCCTTTTTGGTATTGAGTAACTTTACAAGGAACCTAGGACTACAAAAAGGGAATAAGGGTATTACTGGGCATCCTAGATAAGGATTGTGGATCAGGGTCTTAGGCTTAGGGCAGTCTGCTACAGTTGATTGCGCCAGCTGGGACCCCCACCGCGATGTGTGGCGAAGGACGCGAGACCTAAAATCTAAGACTAAAGGGCCGGAGCCCCAACACCGCACCTCAAAGCCTAAACATACAGTACAAGCGCAAAAGTTGGAAACCCAATAGCCTCAATCCGTACCAGTACCGTACAGGGAATCCCAGCACTATTTGGCCTTAATCCGGTTTCCAACTTTATGGGGGTTTACCATTTAATCTCAAGAATCTCATTGCTAAGTCATCAGGCCGCAACACTCTCTGTAGTATCCCCGTAGAAACGAACCAGCCCCCTCCGCAAACCTGCTCTTTTTCAACAGCCTTTGTTGGTTGCCGTGTCGAGAGGTTTGCAACTGAGCCGAAGTGTCGAAGTCTGCAGACCAGAACATGGGAGTTTCCGAAAATAGGGAACCCCAAAAGAAACCCTAAAGAGTAGCATCCTTATTATTATAAGGACCCCAAATGAGGTATCCCTTTTAATTTTCGGAAGCTCCCGAATGTGTTTCAGGTCAGGAACTTGGGTTTAGGGCCTCCAGTACCGGCTTAGGTGCTTAGGTCCCTAAATCCAAAAAGACCAGCAACCTGCATTCAGGAGTATAGAACAACACCGCCATTAGCACGATCCTGAGCAATAGCGGCCAGAATTTGGAAGCTGACCAGAACAAGTATCATGAACACAGGGTAAGGGCAATCGTAACGATGACAATACGAGCAAAAACAGCAGCAACAGCAGCAGACACGACCTAGACATAGAAATCGTTTTCGGCATCAACACTAAACAACATTCCTCTTGGTGCTGCAGTTTCGGGCCAGAGTGGCAGCTCTCATGGTGCAGTTGACTTGTACGGTCGGCATTCTGAATACATATCCCTTTACCCTAACTAGCACGATCTAACAGCGGTACCAAAAACAGCAGCAGAACATACGTAGCAGCACAAAGCGCAGTGACACTACGGAATCCTAACAGATGAAGGCAAGACTAGCAACTGTTGCAACAGAAGCACAGCAGCTGCATAACAGCGCCAGCAATCATAGCAACAACGATACCGTTTTATCCTGGCAATTCAGGCAAAAGAGCACCACAAGAACGTCGTTTTGCTCTCCACTCTAAGATTATTGTGTTGCCACGCCGCTGCAACTGCAGCACTTCTGCTGACTCTTAATTACATCGAGCATGTGTCAATATTGGCGACGCAACCACGGGCATTCCAAGTGGTATTTAGTACGGTAATAGGTCGGCATGCTGCCAGATATTGACAATAATGTCGGTTTAATGGTATAGTACTGGTAAGAGGGACTCGAGGAGACTCGGCACCTGCATCAGACAATGGCACTGACAACATGCAGGCACGTACTCTAAAGCCTCGGGTCCAAACCCTCTAGGTGAAAACTAACTTCTTGTGCCCCAACTGGACCCCCCCCCCACACACACAGACACACACACGACCTACAAATTGTATGGGCATACATAAGGAAATCGTAAGCAGGAGCTGCAATGGTAGGCTACTTGGCGTTCAGGTACAAGTTAGAACCAGGACAAAAACAAGCCGATCGGTACACCCTAAACCCTAAACCCTAAACACTAAACCCTAAACCCTAAACCCTAAACCGTTCCCGGTCTCAGCCTGCAGCACAGGAGGTGTCAGTCGTGGCAGACTTCCGGGAACCCGTTCTTGTCTTCGCTTGCCAAGTTAAATCATCTGAAGCCTCCGTACTCTTCCCCTAAACCCTAAACCGCTAAACCCTATAGGCCCTAAATCCTAAACCGTTCAGAACAAGCTTTGGAGATTCGACCTGAAGAAGAGCTTCAAAGTCGCTGATTGCTTCAGTTTCCAGCCGTCAGCCTTTTCTTTAAAACCTAAACCACAACCCTGAGGCATAAATCTTGACAGATCTTGGCACCTGCGCAGCCTGATGCAGGATTCGCTCTGCTGCAGCTAGTGTAGTAAGTCATGACACTTGGACGGGGTACGACTCTCACCTCCGCTGGCAGACAAGCCTTAAGATGCCTTAAGTTTGTTAAACCCTGAACCCTAAACCCCTAATTAAACCCTAAGCCCTATGAACCCTAAACCATAAACCCCTAAACCCTTCTCCCAAAACCCTAAACCCCTAAACCCTAAACCCTCTGAGCCTTAAGCCTTCAGCCCTAACATCAAACATCCGAAGACGCCTTGGGCTCCCAGGAAATCTGCGGCAGTTTTGCTCACTTCGAGCGAAGCCCAGGGCAGCGGGCACACGTAATGTAGGGGCCTAAATAATTACGTACTTATGCTAGTTTAGGGGGGTCCTTGTTCTAAGCAAAGCGTGATGGGCCCCAAACCCTAATTGTTCTAATTATTAAGACCCCTATACTACTCGTGATGCAACACCCCCCCCTTTTTTTGGGGAAAAGGTATTTGCTGTGCAGCCAAACTGCTGCAGCGCTTCCGGAAAAAAATAAAAGGCAAACAATTGTGGACAATTGCCAATGTCATGTTGATGACTTTGAAGAACCGTTTCGTTTTGCTATGTCTGTTCCTGTCGTAAACTTCCGACCCCACTCACCAAGGACCTTGGGATCCGACAGGGATTCCATCTTCACTGGAATCGTTTTGTTTGCATAGCGTCGCTCCGGGAAGGCTTCCTTCATGCAGCTCAGGCGTCGATTGTCCAGACTCCAAAAGAGCTGCATGTGCTCGACCACACGGATGGCGGGAAGGTCATCCACGGCCATCGTCCCAGACCGCAACAAGTTTACGGTTTCCTGAAGAGACCGGCCATCTCGAAATTCCGAGGCAACACTATTCTGGGTGAAGCGAATGGTGTGCAAACGCAGATGCGTTTTGCTACCTGCCGAGCTTCGGATCACATCCTGTGCGTGGCGCAACTGATCGGAGCTCGCTCCAGTGAAATTCATCGCACCGTCTTCATCACGCAGGCGCTGAACATCACGGCGTTTGTCGTTGGCGCTACGTGTCCGATTCTCATCGTCATTGATGGCGAGGAGCGTAGCACCCACGACGATGGCTGCAGCCCCCAGCACTGCTCCCGCTGCCCCGGCTGCGGCAGCAATGCCTGCAGCGTCGGAACCTGCAGGAGTTGTTGGCGCTGGAGTTTGGCTAAAGCCTGCAAAAGTCCGCACATGCTCCAGATGCCAAGAGCCATTGGCTACTTTGCCGACACTTACGTTGTTCAGGTCGAAACGGTCCTGGCGAGTAGGAAGGCAAAGCCATGCTTGATCCGACTCGCCGTTTTCTTGATGACAAAAAAGGATTGGGCCAGCGAGCCGCCGATGTGCGCATAAGAGTAGTCCGTGCTTCACGTTGGCAATCTTGAAGGCATTCCCGTCCTCGGTGAAGGATGCGATGACCCAAAGCTGTTCGTCGTTGTTGGTCTCGCCATCGGTCAAAAAGGTCCGCGACCCTGACCAATTGTATCCTTCACCCTGACAGGACAGGCATTGGCCGACATTGTTCTCTGTATGCCACAGGCGGAAGGCACTGTGTGTTTCGAAAGCTTCAAATAGCGGATAGCGCTGACCTGCGTTCCATCGCACGACCGAGGAAAGATCACAGTCCAGGCCCTGTTTGCTTAGCTGCTTGGCTTTATTGCACAATGTCCAATGCCATCGAATACTGTGCCAGTGCACTTTTCTTACAGCTTCCTAGCCTTACACCTAGTTTGCAGGAAGGTCGTTCTGCACTTCCTCTATGCCTCTCAAACGGCAGACGACAAGTGCACTCTCGTGTGAGACAGCGAACATGGCGCCGGGACTACGTGGCAGTCAGCATGGCTTCCTGTATTCCTGTTTCGCACGAAAAGCACAGGAAAAACTGATCGTTCAGGAAACATTGGAGAAATCATAACTTGCCGAAGCTCAGGCAACCCTAAATGCCACACCCTATATAAGTTCTACGGACATGCGCTAAGACGTATACATGTGATAGAAAGAAGCCAGTCAAGTCTGTAAACGCTGCTTGTGCACTCACGGCAAAACTAAGTAGGACGTGCCGCTAGCAGAAATGGACGTTTCGAAAAATGGCGGCGTTCTTCTCTTGAGGAGTCTGGTGGGGGTTTCTGAACCTCTCGTCTTGCAGTTCTTACAAAGAGCTATACCTGCAATTTACGGTATGATCTGGGGCAGGCGGACCTCTTCGTGTGCCCGCACCCCGTTGGTAGCCGAGGCACCACGTATCCAGAGGCCGCTGGTGCCTGCTTCAGAGGTAGAGTTCTTAGGGGTTTAGGGTTTAGGGTGAAGAGTTAAGCTGCTGGTATAGATCGAAAAGAACTCTAACCACCGTGTTCCCTGCTTTCTAACCCAACAGCTCATTCAAACCGATCTCGACACCTAGGTCCGGACCGTCAGAGAACCCTCGCACTGAACGGAAGCACCAGCATCCCTTCCTGAATTCAGGAACGCCCTTCTTCCTGAATTCAGGAACGTCTTTCTCAGTTATAGTAGAGATACATTGCTATGCTGATACAGCCTATTTCGTACCCCACCGAATGCCCAATATGCCCTATAAGCACTAAACCCTATGCTCTACAGGCTCTAAACCCTAAACCCTACTTTAAGCTCTACACCTTACCTAGACCCACAACTACCCTCCATTATAGCCCCCAATTACCTCTTGATGAGAAATATTAGAGCCCTGTAAAGGGTACTTGGGGGGTCCTGGTAAGCCGCAAGGAAGGGACACAGAAGTCGCCAGATCCCAGAGCCTGCCTGTCAATCGGGAGAGGGCCACCTAGGATCGCGTGCTGCCCGAGACAGCTAACAAAATTCTGGGAAGAAGCTGTGAGTCGAAACATCAGAGAATTTGTGCAGTGTTTAAGGGAATGTTGGCAGGGAAAACAGTGTTGGGCGTCTTTTGTGTCATTGATGGCACTGATGCTGTATGGTGCTCACTGTTGTTGTTGTTGCTGCTGTTGCTGCTGTTGCTGCTGTTGTTGTTGTTGTTGTTGGTTCAATGCCTTTCATTCGCCGTCGCCAGTGTAAGTACGAGTGCAAATAAGATTTGGAATCCTGCATAGCTATATAGGGGCCTTATTGATTAGAATACGGTGTTGGGGCCCTTATATTATATTCATAATAAGGAACCCCTAACAATGGTATTGGTAATTACGTAGGCCCCCTACATTATCACACAAGCTTCCAGGATCGGTCGCAGGCTCCTCAGTCCTTGTGACCCTGACCCCTGAGGGTCCATATGCCCAAATAGCACATATACTTTGGGGCCAATGTCCCGATATAGGGAGTACCTTAAGGCCGAAGTACATATCAGTTGTGTACATGGACCTTTAGGGTACCTGGGTAAGGGAAGGTGAAAGGTTCTAGCGTTCAGGATGCTGAACTTGTTGGCAGACCTCCACCCCTGAATACCTTCATCCGACGATGTCCATGCATGCCGGGCCCCGCGCATAGCTTTGCCCAGCCTGACGACTTCAGCTCTATCTCTTTATGCTACAGCGATGCTGAAGATGACGATGACACTCACCATTGGTGGTTTGGGATTGGGCGCTTCAACGACAAGAGCAGGGCACAGCCGGAAGAGGGAGAAAGTGGCAGCCCGTGATCTCAAAGGCATCTCTGGAGTCACATGTAGCTTCCGGGTCTCTGGAACTTCTAGGATTTCTTGCTTTTCTATGGGTTTGGGGTTTAGGGTTTAGGGGTAATTATCTTCTGAATCCAGGTCTTGAGCTAAGAATGCCGGTGCTTGCGCTCAATGCGCTCAAAGTTGTTCGGGGGTTCAGCACGTGGAGGGTCTGGGTCTGAACTCTCAGCTACATCCGCCACTGCTCTTGGTGCGAAGCCTTCCGAAACTAGTTTAGGGTTCAGGGCCGTTTAGGGTTTGGGAAGCAGAGCGGACAGTCAAAGTCTCAACATGCGCCGGCCTCAAATGCATCATCCATCTGCAGTTCGGCGCGGGTCAACGTCATGCCCTGTGCCTCGTGGCAGTGATCACATCTTAGGAGGCTAAACCCTAAACCCCGAACCCTAACTCAAGGCTCCGTAAACCCTAACTCAAGGCTCCGGTCCTTCCAAACCATGAGTTCCTGAACCCTTTACCCAGAACGAGCTGTTGCTGGGAGGTTCGAGGGATGTTTGCTTGTGCACCGCCGATGGAGTGCAGGCCCATCATTGGAATCTTCATGCTAGCAGTATCAATTTCTGGGATCCAGGGAAGGAACTAGCTTTACAGCCTCTTCAAAGACCATCGTGGCTTTTCAAAGACACATGTATGGATCTCACCCATTCCCTCCTTGCAGCCCTTTTACTGAGACTCACATTTCGTGGACAACCTACGTGCCATTGCACGATTGTTGATGTCAGGTTCCGGGGCAGCTAGGTGCCTTCGTGAGGGAAGTTCAGCAAAAACCGTCTTCCCACGCCCTGGAACTCTTTTTGCTTGACCTCTTTCCCCTGGCAAAAGCGTTGCAAAAAACTGAGATGCAGTTGGCCTGCAGTGCTCGTTGTCTGGTTGGATTTTGGCCAGCACTGAGCTCTGGCAAATGTATGTGGACCTTTCCCGCCACTTGCTTCATTGAGAAGTTCGGTGGAAAGCCGCGGTCGTCAGCAACTCCAACGGCCACCATGTCGACCAGCACATGGGTAGTTGTCAAAATGAAGGCTGCGCACTATCCACAAACACAGGGGCCTTAACAATCAGAACAGGGCCCTGGGGCCTATACCTATAGTATAGTACCATTATATATGTACGCACTATATGTATATACAATGAACGAACCCATTTATGAACAATACACGTGTATACGTATGTGCATATGTATATATACACACATGTGCACAGCTTTCTGGGCATCTTATACACTACTGTAATCCAAGGACCCTTGAATAATAGTAAGAGTAGATATCCAGGCTTCCGTATCACCCTGAACCGCCACACCCCAAACCCTAAACCCCAAAACCCCTAAACCTAAACCGCACACCCCTAACCCCTAAACCGCCTAAAGCCCTAAACCGAAAACCCCTAAACCACTATCCAAGCAGGGACCGGTCAGATGAGCCCTCTGAGCAAGTGGAAACCACCCAAACCACAAAGCATGGTAAGGTTTTAGGCCTTACGGTTTAGGGCTTAGGATCTAAAAAGGGGCCTTGAGCAAGACAGGGTCTGTGGGTGGTGGGTACGATACACAAAAAATTAATGAGGAACCCTCAAAACCCTATTCTAGTTATTAAGGCCCCTCATTATGGGGCTTAGGGCCTAGGGTTTTCTAGGTTTGGGGTGAAGCGTTTACAGGGTTCGTGGGTCTGGCGTTTAGGCTTAGGGTTCCGTCAGTGTTTCGGGTTTATATAACAATTTGGAATTTGGAAGTCGGTTTAAGTCAAGGTGTAGGACTCCGGGTTTGTTTGGGGCTTAGGATTATAGGCTTCGTGCATTTGGGGTTTATAGGGTTCGGTGTTCAGGGTCTAACTTTTTGTAAGTCGGGTTTCGGGGGGGTACATGCCAAAATCAACATACAGGAAATACTCTGACTGTACGGGGAAACGGGGATACTCTGACCAATTTTCTTCTGAACCCTAAACACTAAACCCCCAATCCCTAAACCCGCAACGCTAAACCGTGGTTCCTAAACTCTAAACCCGAAAACCTAAAATCGTTCAACCACATGAAACCCATAGCCCTCAGCCCTTAAAACCCACATGACGAACCTTTGAAAATCCCTTGAAGAGCCCCCAATAACATCCTCTACCAGTATCTCCAAACCTGACGAAATAGTAGGTTATGACCCCTTACTTAGAGCGTCGAACCCTTAAAACGATAGGTGTTTGGATCCCCAGGAAAACCCTACCCACTCCGAGGAAGGGCCTTGTGCACTGTCAGCGCCCAGCCCAGTTTCAAGGGCACTTGGAACCTGCGGGGGCTCATTTTCGAGGGCTTTAGTTTAGGGTTGCCCTTTAAGCCCTTTGAAAACTATTTACTATTAGGGTTCTCTACAAAATAGTAAGGGAAATTAAAAAAGATCCCAAAAGACAACCCAGTAGTTTAGGGTTTAGGGTTCAGGGGTTTCAGGGTCTAGAGGCGGAGGAATGAGGGGTTGAGAGAGCTAAGGGTATGGTTTAAGTTTAAGTGTTTAGGGTCCAGGGTTTGCCTGGACCCCCAAAGTAGGTAGAATAATGGCCTTTTATGTATCCTGGGCCATTATTTTACCTACTTTGATGGGTTTGGGTCTTAGGGCCTTAGGGGTTTCAGGGTGGTGGCTGTATTTTTTAGGGGTTTCAAAGTCTAGCGGCGCAGGGTTTCTTTTAACCTATAATTGCGGGCCCTTTCTCGCAATGCGCCGACCCGCTTTGGGCCCGCAGAAGTGAAACTTGTTTAGACTAAAGGTTTAGGGGTGTAGGAGTTTAAATGGATTCAGGGGAGTTGACGCTGGTAGTTAGGAAGGGCGCGGATGATGCTGCTGCATGTGGCAGAGCTACTACTAACGACAAAAAGAAGATCCCACAGCTATTGCTTGAGGGTCCTATTCCAAACCTAAGCCTTGACAGAAACGCAAGATCGCCCGATCTGGAACATCTTCGGGCTTAGCAAGGCCTCAGATTCTTCAGACGGCAAGGGTCTCTACACACATCACGGTCCAAACACTCAGCCACACTGATTTGAAGCCTGAGGGCCTGAATTGGGGTTGAGCTAAGTGTTTAAGCCAAACCCCGACTATGCATACATAGTCCAAACTGCAAAGCATTTGGATTGGTTTGTGTGAAGTGCTCGGTTAGGAGATTCATCCGAGGGTTCAGGTCTCAGGGATTCTCAGGGTCGAGGTTACGAACTGCACCCTCCTGAATATGGGGCTCAGGGCTTACGGCCTGGACAGGGTGTTGCGACCGGCGCCCAGCGTGAACTTGTGCACGCCTATACCTTGCACAACTATCAAGTCGGAAGGCTCACGAAAGAATCATGTTGGTATTGTGGGCAGGTGTGTAGGTAGTGTGTCTGTGTGTGTGTGTGTGCGTGTCACATGGCCCACATGTCTTCGGTTCTTGTATAGGCAGATTTGTCTTGATAGATGGATACACACACCTGAAATTACATACATACCTACCTAAATACATACATATAAACACATGCACACGGAAGGATGCATACACACATACACATAAATGTTATACACACATATATACATAAACACACATACACATATCAGCATATGCATATATAAACATGCTTAAGCACATGTACATGCTCATGCACATACACGTATATATATATATATATATATATATGTATATACACATCTACATAAATTTACATGTACATACGTACACACGTACCTACATACAAACATACACACCTGTATGTCTCTGTATGTGTATATACACATACATAATGCGTATTAATTAGTGTGTGTGTGTGTGTGTTTGTGCACATGCGTCGGGGGGAGGGGTTTTCGGGATTTCAAAAACTTCTCCAATGTGCCCAGAGCTCCCAAGAAGAACCTGCTTTGGCGCGCACGCACACACCCTGCCATTGTATTGCGTCGTGTAGGTAAGAGCATTTGGGGGATTCGGCCCGACTGTACCTACGATGCAAGCAAAAATTGGTCTGGAATACGTGCCCTTGGGCAATTGTTGCTACCTGTGCTAGAATGCTGGGACCGTTCGTCGGACGAATCTGTCCCGGTGACATTTGATTGATGCATGGACTCATCCAGGCTATACAGAGGCTCTTCGGACCATGCGGTATGACCAAGACAAAAGCATGTGCTAGTTAATTACTATTTGGGTACATGGACCCTAGGGTTTGTACATCGACCTTGTACCCCAACTCGCAAACCGTAACCAAAATACGCTGCACACTCCCCTAGTGCGACTCAGCCGGCCCAAGCACAAACGAGCTCCAGCCGGCATCTCTCGCCCCATCCCGGAACCCCTCACATCGAAAGGCACCAACATCGCAAACTGATGAGCCCTCCCTAAATCCTCAGAATCATGAACTTCAAGGAATAGCGTTAAGTTCTGCTCACGCCTTTGACTAAACCCAAAACCCTAAACCCTAAACCCCTAAACCCCTAAACCCTAAACCCTAAACCCTAAACTCAAAACCCTAAACCCTAAACCTAAACCCAAAACCCTAAACCACGAGATTGGAGGCCTGAACCCGGCACTGAACCGGACAAGGTGCAAGCCGTCTTTCCGTTGTCAAAGCGAACCAAGGGCTTTCCATCTTGAAAAGCCTTTGGCGTCTAGGGTTTAGGGGGGTGGCAGGGGGGGGGGGGGGGCATTGCATGCGAACTGATAGGATTGCAGGATTTAGAAATCTGATCCAGGCATCCTTACAAGAAGCCTAAACTCTAAGCCCTAAACCCTGAACCCCTAAACTGTATAAAACCCAAGCCCTAAACCCTAAACCCCTAAACCCTATAAACCCCCAAACCCTAAAGAAGGATTGTACTACTTATTTGGGGCAGGGCCCGTAAATTGCGGCGACTCCTGCCACCTCGCCTGCACGAACAACTGCATCATGCGTTTACACAATTACCTGTCCACCTGAGTGTTGGTATACATATATGATAAGAAGAGTATATATATATATATATATATATATACTTGTATGTATACAGACCTGTTTAGGTTGTCCTCTTGAGTTTGTGTGTGTGTGTGCAACATACCTACATACCTGCAAACCTATATATATATATATGTATATGTATGTGTATATATATATATATATATATATATATATATATCGCAATGTCCACATACCTACCTACCTACCTACCTGCATGCATGCGTGCATGCGTGCAACGTGCATACATGGCGTGCATACATGCATACATGCAACATGCATACATGCATATGTGCATACGTGTATGTATGTAAAGTATGCATGCATGCATGCATGTACGAATGCATGCATGTGCGTGCATGTGTGCATGTACTCGTATGTATGTATGCATGTATGTGTGTATGTATGTATGCATGTGGTGTGGAAAAGCGTATATCAAATCCTATGTAAACTAGAACCGAAACCATGCTGTATATGAAACCCCGAAACTCCAACCCTCTCTACCATTCCGACCTTGAAGCTGCGTAAACCGTGAATCCAACACCCAAGCAAGCCCATTCCTTGCACATCTCCAGTCCGAAAAAGCTGCTGTCGATAAGCCCTAATCCGAAACTGCGAATTTCATGAAACCTAAACTCCACACTAAACACTACGGAGCCCAACCACAAAAGTCTGCAAGTCCAGAACTTACGAACTAACTTCCTCTCAAGAAACAAAATCCAAAGCCAATAGCAATACTTAGGGGCTGAGCACCCTAGGCCAAAAAAGGGTAACTTTTTCAATTATGGCAGGTTATATGAGCCCCAAAAGGTTAAACGGTACCTACTCAGCTACTAAGCCTACCTACAAAGAGCAGCATGT